CCCTGGACTGTTAAGGATCGTACCACCCTCGAAAAAGTCCAACGACGGGCAACCAAGCTTGTCAGAGGTTATAAAAACCTACCTTACGAAACCAGACTTTCAAATCTTAACCTCTTTGCCCTGGACTACAGAAAACTCCGTGGCGACTTAATTCAAACGTTTAGAATGTTACGGGGTCAGGACTGCTGCCTCGCATCCGGCGACTTCTTTGAGCTGGCCACCACTACTAGCTTGAGAGGACACCCTCTGAAACTACGTGTGACGGGCGAGAGTAAACGCAAGGAGGTCCTTCTTCTGCCACAGAGTGGTAAAGGCATGGAATGCCCTGCTTGTGGATGTCGTCATGCTCTCATCCGTGGACTCATTCAAGAGAAAGCTTCACCAATGCAGGGATATGTACCTCCACAGCATCGGAAACTAACGAATTTCCCCCCTGTACCACCCGCCCCACCCAACGTTATAGGTCAGAAAACATGCTACTCCCTATATTTTAGTAACATAACGTTTTACCAATTTCGCTTTCTCCTAACCGCAGCATATGCTTCGATATTACTTGGTCCATTCAGTACCGTACTGGATAATGTAAAATTTTGACATATAAGGCATTCGCAGACAAATTAATACCAGTGACCAATGCTTGTTGTATGTAATTACTTACCTAATTTTTTTCACACTTGCCTTACACATTGTTTTTTTATGACGTTATTGTAACCAAAAGGGAGTTCAAAGGCGCTCGTCTACTTTTCCCTTAATAAATCTGATCTAAAAATCTGATCTGATTTGATCTGATCTGATCTTGTTAATTGTTCAGCAGTCTGAAACCCACGGTCAGCCTGCAGACAGCGTGGTTCCCATCATTTGTTTAGAGCACCATTTCTATCCCCTGCCAGCTAGATAGCGAGCTACTACGAACTTCACACAGGCCCGAAGTTTGACACTCCTACACCCTGACCCGTCAAACCAGACAAACACGACAGTTCGACCATCGATTTCGATGATGTCCACCATGTGCCCCACAGACTGCATTGTGGGAGCAGGGACGGTGACTTACGCAGGAGTTTACAGTGCCAGTAGACTTGCGTAGCATCTACCTACACTCTCTCCTCCTCCCCCGCCTGAGCCCAGTGTCAAGACCAAGTCAAGAAGACCGGAGACGAGGGTAGGACGCAGGTGGATGGTTTGGACGGATCCTCACCTTGCCGCTCCACCACACCCCCTGGTCCACACAACAAATGATCAGGATTTCAACCAACAACAGAGATTTGGAGGCTGGCACGACCGAAGCCGCACCTAGGCGTACCGCCAACTCCTAGTTAGGATCCCACACTGTGGTGGGAGTGCCATTAAGGCATAATTAAAAAGGAACCATTGCAGCCTGACTCTAAGACCACTGCCGGTGAAGGAGGAGGTCCAAGTTACCCCGTCAGTTGGCAACCTTCAAAGCCACGGCTTTTAGCGCACCGTGATAGTTTCAAGCGCGTCAGATTGTTTATAGTGAGGAGGAAATGCGCTGAATCGTCGACCTCACTCTCCCTTCCCACTCCCACACCCCAGCCGCTGTCCGAGCCGGTCAGCAGACAGGAGTGGGAGATGGGCGCGGTGGCTGTCATGGTCGACTGACCATTCCTGCGCGCGCCACGGCACGACCTGGCCCCCCATACACACACAAACACCAGAATTTCACACACGGGGGGTTGAACGGCGTGTCTCTCACTTACGTGAGAGGGCCGTGGAAGGTACTGTTTCAGCCCGTCCCCAGCCCACCAGTCCGCCACAACACACACACAACAACACGGCAAATTGCGTGAAACAGGAGCGGGCGTCAAACAGCAACCTTCCTATCCACGACGTTTGACTTGTCGGGATAGTCTCGGGTTCAAGTCACCCGTGTAGCCGAAGCCGCATGGGGATCGAGTCGAGATGCACACTTCCCACTTGCGGGGTAGGTGACAGTTGGGTGCTGGCTCATGTGACCGAATAGGCCCATGCGATGCCTGAAAGTACAAGGGCAGTGTGGGCAGTTGAGACGATCTTGGTGGGTATAGGTTGGTGCTCCAGGCACTGGTTCGCCCGTCCCTGTGCGATGGATTCGTAAGTGACCGACCAGGCCGATGCGTGAGGTGAAGGTGCGTGGGCAGTGTGGGCATGAGAGGTCGGCAGTGTCGGTGTCAGCTGTAGAGG